TGCCATCTCCTTGAGACTCCTTCTCTCATCATCCAGAACAGACCAGTCACCTTGTTTCTTTCTTGTCTCCATGGGCACTTAACTTTTACTTAGTTTTCTCCAAGACTCCTCACCTTTAATTCACAAGGTTTTAAACCAAACGTGTAGTCTGAGGTTGTTTTATTTTTTTAAACTCTAACAAAGACTTCTTTTGAGCCTCATGCTTTAAATGTGCTGATTTCTTGATATGGCCATTTGCGTACCTCACTTACATTGGAAACTCACCCTCACTAGCTCTCTTCTCCCTATTCCGCGGGTCCTCTCCTCACTGCTCCAGCCATTGAGCCACCCAGCCATCCAGATGCCCATGTCAGAACCTGACTGTCATTCAACCACATACCCAGCTCACCGCCACGGACTATCGATTCTTCCTCCAAAATGGATCTGGAATCCCTTTTCTGACCATTTCTACAAATAACAAAGCCAATTTATATTCTGCTTGGTTACTGCCTAGTCTTTTAACTATTCCCCCTGCTTTAAATCCATTTCCCAAACAACAGGATGCTCTCTTAAAATTCTAGATTATATTATCTTGCATTTGGCTTGAAATATTTTTATGACTTTTTATTTGACAGAAAATAAAATCCCAATTCTTCAGCATTTCCACTAGACCTTGCATTGATCTAGCCCCTTCCCTGAACTCATTTTATGTCATTTGTATTCTTATGTAACTGAGCTAACCTCTTTTTTTTTTCTCTAAATCTTTATTGTTGAATGTATTACAGATGTTCCTCATTTTTCCCCCACTGATCCCCTCCTCCCCACTCCCGCCCCCCTCCCGCCTTTTCCCACACTATTGTCTGTGTCCATTGGTTATGCATAAATGTGGTTTATTTCTTCCCACCCCCCAACCCCTTTCCCTTTGAGGTTTGTCAGTCTAGCAATGAATTTGTACTTCTTAATCCCTTCACCTTTTTCACCCATTCCCCCAACCCCCCTCCCATCTGGCAACCAACAAAATGAGAATGTTTCTGTTTTGCCTGTTCATTTTGTTTGTAGATTCCATTGTCGATAAATATGCATTCATTACCATTTTGTTTGTTCGTATATTTTATCTTTTTCTTCAAAAAGACCCTTCATCATTTCATATAATAACGGTTTGGTGGTGATGAACTCCTTTAACTTTTTCTTGCCTGGGAAACTCTTTATATGGCCATTGATTCTAAATGACAGCTTTGCAGGATAGAGTAATCTTGGTTGTAGGTTCTTGGTTTTCATCACTGTGAATATTTCTTGCCACTCCCTTCTGGCTTGCAAAGTTTCTTTTAAGAAATCAGCCGACAGCCTTATGGGAACTTCCTTGTAGGTAACTAACTGCTTTTCTCTTGCTACTTTTAAGATTCTCTCTTTGCCTTGAACCTTTTGCATTTTGATGATGTGTCTTGGTGTGGGCCTCTTGGGGTTCATCTTGTTTGGAACTCTCTGTGCTTCCTGGACTTGTATGTCTGTTTCCTTTACCAAGTTAGGAAAGTTTTCTGCCATTATTGTTTCAAACAGATTTTCAATTTCTTGTTCTCTCTCTTCTCCTTCTGGCACCCCCATGATGCGAATGTTGGCACACTTGAAGTTGTCCCAGAGGCTCCTTACACGATCCTCATTTTTTTGGCTTCTTTTTTCTTTTTGCAGTTCTGATTGGGCATTTTTTGCTTCCTTATATTCCAAATTGATAGTTTGCTTCTTGGATTTACGTACTCTATTGAATCTGTGTAAATTATTCTTTATTTCAGTTAATGCCTCCTTTATTTCTGACTCTGCATCCTTCATTTCTGACTGGTCCTTTTTTATGCTCTTGAGGCCCTCACTAAGTTCACTGAGCATCCTTATAAGCAGTATTTTGAACTCAGCATCTGTTAGGTTGCTTATCTCCATTTTGCTTAGTTCTTTTCTTGGGGTTTTGTTCTGTTCTTTCATTTGGGACCTGTTTGTTTGTCCCCTCATTTTGGCTGCCTCCCTGTGTTTGTTTCAGTGTATTACTTAATGAGTGGTATGGGGCTATCTGAGACCAGATGCTGCTTGTTTGAAAGAATTTAGGAAAACCTGAAGCAGCATCCAAGACAGGCCAATCATATGGTTAAGCAACTGGCAACAGCTTGGGTGGGCCTGAAAGTTGGGTGGGGTGGGCCTACCAGTGTGAGTCAGGTTGCTGGAGTCCAAGATATGGAGACTGTCTGGGAAGGGCTCACCAAAGGAACAAAAGGCCTCTGACAGCACGTCTGTCTAGGATAAAGCCCCCTCTCCAGCCCTCGCTCCAAAGCCAAACAGCTCAGTTCTTCCCTGTATGTCTCTGGCGCCTCTTAAGCTGCCTCCCCTCCAAGCTTAGAGGGAGTGAGTCTGATAAGTCCATGCGCGGGCCCTTTAAAGAGCTGCCTGAGGCTCCAGCCATGTCAGCTTCCCTGAGCCTCAGTTCCCGCTGGTTTTTCCAGCCAGAAGTTATGGGGATTCTCTTCCTGGCACTGGAACCCTGAGTGGGGCGCCTGGTGTGGGAAGGGGACCCCTCATTCCTGATGGAGGGCCTTCCCAGCTGAGGTGTCCTCCTGATTTTTATGCGCCACACTTGGGTGTGGGACCAGCCTCCGCCCCTCCTACCAGTCTGGATGTGGCTGCTGCTTTAAATCTAGTTGTAGGACTTCCATTCAGCTTGATTTCAGTTGGTATTGAATGATGGTTGTTCTGTAGTTTAGTTGTAACTTTGATGTGGTTGTGGGAGGATGAGATACCATATTTACCTACGCTGCCATCTTGACCGGAAGTCCTCTGACCTCTTCTTATTTATCTTTCCCTAAAAGGCTCCCCCATCTCCCATTCCCCACACCAGGCCTCTATGCATGCTGCTCTGTTTGCCTGGAATGTTCTTCCTCCATAGTCTTCCGTGAAGCATTTGTCTGGAACCACAGGAAATGCCATCTTCCAGGGGAATCTTCCCCCTAATTGCTCACAATTCAAATTAGAACCCATTCTGCTGATACTGTCTCTTAGAATGTAATATATTTCTTTTTCAGAACTAATCATATTTTATTGTAATATTTTGAGAGGTGGTGTAGACATAGATAAAATCTCAGACTCTTCTGCCCCATGCCAGTCTGAATTCTACTCTCTATCACTTATTTGCTATGTGAGTATGGACAATAATAATAATTTCTATGCTTAAGTTTATTCAGGGATAATAATAACACTGATCTTGTAGGGCATTCACCAAGAGGAATGATTAATATTTATAGAGTACATAGTAAATGCAGCACCTAGTAAACACCATGTAAGTATTTACATATATGCAAACATACATGTGTGTATGCGTATGCCCAGTTTACATAATGTCTGAAGGCATAAAACTATCACCTGCCATAATTCTTGACATATAACAGACTGCTAGTAAATATTTGTTTAATATATTGATAAAAAGTGCAGTGTACCTTATAATTAGGTTTCAGTGATCTTCAGAGGAAAAAGAATGATGCATTATATTTATAGGAATATATAATCACTTATAAATTTGTGTTTTGGCTTGTTATCTACCTATTAAAATCATTTAATTATGTTTTTGATCTGAGACTATCTTCAAGCTTTTACCCACCTGGGTGGTCTCCTATCTTCCAGCAAGTATGGTTTTATTATTCTCGTTTTGCAGATGTCTAAACCCCATGGAGCCTGAGGGACTTATACAAGTAGCAAAGTTAATGCATGCTAGGATGATCCTGCTCATCTCAGTCTCCTGGATCTTACTGCAGTACTCCTATTATCTTTTTTGGAAATATCCAGTGAACTGTGTGAATGCTTTTTATACAATTGGTGAAATTGGTGATCATTCTTAAATTTTCAATTTGGGGCAAGTGTGGTTGGAGTTTATCTTCTCTCCTCTTATAGCCTCTTTGTTGTTCAGGGACACATCACTTACCACAGTAACTCTCCACTGTGATCTCTTGTCTTTTGCTTGCCTCCCAGATTTCACTGAACTCTGTATAGAACCTCTAGAGTGATAATTCTAAAAGGCTACCAGGTACTCTTGACACTTTCAGATTGCTTTCCTGTTTTAACACCCATGGGAAGACTATACTGTCAAATTTCAAAAGTATTAAACCTCTGTTCTTTTAATTCGATGTACTATTTTTCCATCTAGTTTTTCTTTGTGAGACACAAGTGAAATACTCAGTTTCTCCCTGTGTCGGCATAGGCATCCTCATATCATTTCTGGGTTCTGAATACATTCTATTATCTGTTGACTTTTCTTTCTTTCTTTCTTTCTTTCTTTCTTTCTTTCTTTCTTTCTTTCTTTCTTTCTTTCTTTCTTTCTTCTTTCCCTCCCTCCCTCCCTCCCTCCCTCCCTCCCTCCCTCCCTTTCCTTCTTTCGCCCTTCCCTGCCCTTTCCTTCCCTTCCCTCTTTTTTGTCTAAATGCTCATAAAACTTGAGAGCTAGAAGGAACTGTATTTACTCGAATCCCAAATTTATAATCAAGGAAACCAGGCTTCAGGAGGTAAGGGATAGGCTGAGAGTTACAAAATGAGATGGGGGCTTAGATGAAAATTACTACTTGATCCTTAGTGTACTTTTGTTGCCAACCTATTCTACTGGGTTTTTTGGGGGGGTTTTTTGGTCTTGTTTTGCTTTATTTTGTTTTTAAAGAGAAAGTAATGTATTGGAATTAAGAAGTACAAACAGCCCTAGCTAGTTTGGCTCAGAGGTTAGAGCATCAGCCTGCGGTCCCAAGACACCTGGGTTCGGTTCCCGCTAAGGACACGTACCTCAGTTGCAGTTTGTCCCCGGCCCTGGTTGGGTTGCGTGGGTGGCAACTACTCGATGTGTTCCTTTCACATCGATGTTTCTCTCTCTCCCTCCTGCTCTATATAAACAAAATATCCAAAAATGTCCTTGGGTGAGGATTAAAAAAGAAGTACAAACAACACATTCAACAAAAATTCCATGGTTGATTTTAATGTTTGTACATTTACTATTTTATCTTTTTCAGTTTAACAGCAATGCCCAGGATGTAAGCTGTTTCCAGCACCTTGTACAAGCAAATGTAAGAAACAAGAAAGTACTGAAAGATGCCGTGAATAATATCACAGCAAAAGGAATCACAGATTATAAGAAGGGCTTTAGCTTTGCTTTTGAGCAGCTGCTTAATGTAAGTAGCAATACCATTCCCTTGTCTCTTTCATTATTGAATTGCAGTAGCTGAATTTCAGTATCCTGATAGGTAATGCCATCTAGGGTTAGATAGCCATGCTATTTTTCATTTGTTCAGAAAGCAGATGTGCCCAAGCAGTAGAAATCTTTGAACTACTTTTATTTTTAAATCCAAATTCAAAGGTCATATGGAATTCATATTTTCTTTTTCTTTTAGATCTTCTCTTCTATTATATTTTCAAAATATGTTTAAAAAGCATATTTATAAGGTCATAATTTAGTTTTGCATAAACAGTTAATATTTAGTTGGCACATTTAGAATATTATTTCTTTTTTCTTATATCAATTACTATAGTATTTGTTTGGAAATGTGTACTTTTAATCTTTAAATGGTTGCTGGAAATATTTTAGTTTTAAACATCTAGTTTGGGTATTTAAATTGTTCCTAAATGTACAGAAAGATCAAAATAGTAGACAGTAAATTGATTAGGAAGATAAGTCCCAGAGCAGGAATTCCTTCCACAGGAAAGATTTCCTGAATGAATCACCCATCCGTGTCTACAGTTAGACTGTTGGACTCAGGCATGCCTACAGCCTGACATATTATAGCAGGTATCTCTCTGTGGACTATGTTTTAAAGGGCCATGTCATCCTTTTCATTCTGAACTATTTGAGAGCAGGAGCCAGTTTTGTATCTCTTAAGAGACAGTATTTTCACTGTGTTTGAGAGCATGGACCTAACCACTCTGCACCTGGGTTTCTTCACTTATGTGACGGAGTCAGTTTCACATGTACATTAGAGGGTTGTGGGCAGGATTGTTTCCAGAATCTGACACACAGCAAACCTCATGTGTATGTAAGTTGTTGGAGTCATGATCATTATTACTGGAATTAATGACTAGTACATGGCTGGTACAGAATCAGCACATAAATCCTTTGTATTTGCTGAAGCACTGAATAAGCCCTTACATGTGGTCTTTTCTGCAAATTTGACTTTGTCATTCCCCAAGTGAATCTTCTACACAGTTTTTGAGATGTCTGATCAGTTGGTTCATTCATTTGTTCGTTCATCCAATATTAAGTGTTTCACAATTTCCTGTGACAGTGCTAGAGCTAGAATTATAGAAGTAATCAAGACCGTCTGCTCCTGAGAAGCTCCAGCATACGCTAAATCATCATCCCCAGTACAAAGTGTTAGGGCCATTACAGGGCATTCAAAGTGTGTCTCTAACGCAGCATGGAGGAGGGACTCAGCTTACCCAAAGAAGGTCAGGAAAGTGTGGCATTTCCTTGAAAACAGGATTTTGAGGAGTGTGTAGAATCTAGGTAGTTAGTTGAGAAAGGGAAGTCATTTCAGATGAAAAGAACTACACGGGCAGAGGCACAGCACTGTGCCAGACTGCATGGGACATTGACTGCAGGAGCAGGGGTGGAACTGGAAAGACCATGAGTTATCAATTAATAATGTGCTCAGGAGCAAACGAAAAGTTTCTGGTATTAAAATGACATACTCTAACCAGTGTTCGAGGATAAGCTGTTATGGAAACCCTGGTGTTGGAATAGTAGTGCAGAGATGTTAAGGAGTGACATGGTGATGGATGGGGGGAGAGGTGGTTGAGGGGGAAGAGGGATTTGGGTGACTGAGGTCTGTGAACTAGAATACTAAGCAGATGATGGCAGCGGGAATGTGAGGGTAGAAAGACCTCAGTTTCAGTCATGTTGAGTTTGAGGTGGTGACATTTATTAGATGCCATTAGATGAACAAGCAAGGAGACAGACAAACAAAGCAGTTCAGCACTGCAGTTTTCAAGGGAAGTTATCTTTGGTACATATGCATGCTTGTTAAATGATGTATTGTTTATTAATAAAAGTATAAAACAAATCTTTGAAATTCAAATGTAATTGACCATTCTATTCAATATATTCTTTCTGTAGAAAAGGAATATAATTTTTTAAAATAAATATTCTTTTTCTCTTGAGTTAATGATCAAGTTTTCTAGATCTTGGTGGTTTAATTCTTCTTCTAAGTATTGTTAATTTGTTTGACTTTCGTCCCTCTTTTTCAGGTTTCAGTTGTGAAATGCTAAGGCGTCCCAAGCCTGACTTACTGTTTCAGAGGCAGTCCCATTAGAGAGGCCCCATTAACTCCCAGATTCATTACTAGTTGCTGATAAAATATAATGTTACTCCTACAGGCCTCTAGTACGACCTGTTATTCCTGGAGTAAATCTCCGATGTTCTGCTTTCCACACATCCCTTATGTGTTGCCCTTCTTCATTTCAAATAGTGTTCCCAAATGTCATAGTCTGCCTTATTCAAAACTAAAGCACATTTTGTTATCTCTTTCAAACACTTATTGTCTTCTCATCATGCAGTGCGTTCCCTGTTTTTGGTATATGCAAGGTTTACTTTTAAGATCACTGAAGCAAGTATCAACCAGAATTAGACACATCATTTTTCCCATACTAAGCCTTAAATTTAAGATTTGAATTATTCTTCACGTAGCATTTCATAAAATATTACCAAATATATTGGGATGCAATTTTCAAAAAACTCTTGAGTGCCTGTATGGTAGATGCTGCTCTGTCAGCAGCCCAAACAAGGCTACAACCAAGCAGACTATGAAATAACACATTAAAGTAAACTAACAACTCTGACTGTAATTTTATTGAAATGGTCAAGTTCTTTCTTTCACTTAAGGTATAACTGTTGTGACTGTGTGATTCTTTTTTTTTTTTTGGTACGTGCCCCAGCAGGAACTGAACCCGGGACTCTCTGGTCCGTAGGCCAGCGCTCCAGCCGCTGAGCCAAACTGGCCAGAGAGTGACTGTGTGATTCTTTAGATAATTGGAAATCCACTGAAAAGTAGCTGTGATGTACTTTGCTTTATAAAAAATCTGAAGAAGACTATTCCTTGGAAAAATAATTTTGCAAACAAAACATTTCCATTTTTGTGTGTCCTAATATCTATCTCTCCTGGGGAAGGTTATTGTTATTTTATTTATACCAATATACAAATGGCCAGCAGGACCCAGTGTACTAACGTACACTGATATTTGCATTCCATGATTAAACACCTCTACAACTTTAAGGAAATGAAGTCCCGTCTTAGCAACATTACTTATTTTATCACTTTTATGAGATAGTCTTTTATATACATATTATTTTAATATGCAGATACAAAAGACAACATCATGGAAATTAATTTTAGTTAAGGGATTTCAACACCATTCACAAAAGTATTTTGGTAATAAAATATGTAATTTTTTGTATAGTCAACATTTCAGACGGTTTCCATCAAAGATAAGAACGATGCTTGACATCTCGCGGCAATGGCCAGGCCCACGTGGCCCTAGGCTCCCGCTCGCCCTCAGCCCTGGGAGTGCTGTCCACCGTCCTGAGTAATCCGGTGTTCCCTGCCAGAGGAAGCGGAAGTAGAATAAATTACAGACCTCTGAGGCTTGGGGTTCATTAACTTGTCCCTCCCTCTAAGCCCAGGGTAGGATTGAAGAAAAGACCATGCAGTACTGGATAGCGGAGACCTTCCAGGATGTGGCCAGGACAGGATATGTTGACCACACACCACACACACACACACACACACACAACGATGTGTGAATGGGACAAATTGTACTAGTCAGTATTTGTGTTTTCACAATGCTTAGGTAAAAACTTTAACTGCCAATGTTCTAGTGGCCTAGTCAATGGGGTGAGATAGTATGAAACAGGATCTTTTATCAATAAATCAAAATGTAATCTTAATGATTAGCTTTTACAATATCTTATTTAAAGAATAAGATAGAGCACAGACCTCCAATGAACTTAAACACTACAGGAGAATTGATTTAAAAGTAGATATTAGTAATTTAATGGCCAGGGCTGTGCTCTCCAGTGTGGTAACCACAATCATGTGCTGTTGAGACCTGAACTGTGCCTGGTCTGAACTCAAATTTGAGGATTTATTATGAAAGAGAAAATGTAGATTATCTCAAGAATTTTTATATTGATTTCATATTTACTTGATAATATTTTGGATGACTGGGTTAAATAAAATATATTGTTAAAATTAATTTCAGTATTTCTTTTTACTTTCGTGGTTATTGGAAAGTTAAAATTACAAAGGAGTTGTACACTGTATCTTCATTGGCAGCACCGGGCTGGCTAGCAGAGTGGCATTTTGAAGGTAGCTGAACATTAATAAATCAGTATAATTTTTAATTCTCAATGCTTACTCAAAAACACATTTAACAGCAGTAAAAGGGCTGACATCATAATTTCAGACCTCAAAGAAGCCCAGATTTCTAAATTAAGTGTATCGTAGTGGTCCTTGGTGCTAATCCATTGTTTTCTCATGTTCGACTCTTTTGGGACCTTAAGAAGAATTGAGAGGATTTACTATAGGAATCTAGTCTTTCGGGATTAGAATATGTGTGACAAGTTGAGAGAGAATAGCAGGGGATATACTGGGGATAGGTATGGACATTTATGCAGATGTGAAAGCATTGGGTGTTCGGGATCAGTGAGGAGTTTACAGTTTTGGAAATGTAAAGTGAAACAAGTCGGATGAAGGAGGGAAAATGTTTGTAAATGGACTGAAAATATATGTGAATGGGTATGCACATTTTTATTAATATTGTTTGTTTCTGGTATAAATTATAGGGGCATAAAATTGACATCTTAATCATTAATTAATATACAATCTATTAATTAACCACTGAGAGGTTATTGTGTTCTAGGCACTGATCTAGGCAAGGAAACAACATTGAACAAAAAGAGACAAAACTTCATGTCTTCATGATACTGATGTTCAAGTATGCAAAGCCAACAATAAGCAAGCAAATAAAATATGTACTATATATATAAAAGAGGATAAAATTCTGGGAAGAAAAATACATCTTGAGGAGGAGGGATTGCAATGTAAAATGTAGTTTTTTGGGAATGTTCTCATTGATAAGGCGACATTTGATCAAAGGCCTGAAGGAAGTTGAGAACAATGGATATCGGGGTGGGGGGCTCAAGGGAAGGTTTTGTATGGGGTGGGCCTGGCCTGATCCAGGAAGAACCATTTCTAAGAATATATATGTATATATTAGGCATATGTTTTACTCATTACTTGCAACCTGTTTATGCTCTTTCATATGCTTTATAGTTTCTACTTTTTATTATGAATGACATACATATATATATTTTTTACAGTATAATGTTTCCAGAGCTAACTGCAATAAGATTATCATGTTGTTTACGGATGGAGGAGAAGAGAGAGCCCAGGAGATATTTACCAAATACAACAAAGACAGAAAAGTGAGTGCAATTTTACAGTATTTTATTTTATTTTTTTAATCCTCACCTGAGGATATTATTTTAGATTGATTTTGAGAGAGAGAGAGAGAGAGAGAGAGAGAGAGAGAAACATCGATGTGAGATACATTGATAAGTTGCCTCCCATAGATGCCCCAACCAGGATTGAACCCACAACCTAGGTGTGTGTCCTGACTGGGAATTGAACCCAAAGCCTTTTGGTATATGGAATGATGCCCTAATAAACTGAGCCAGGGCTACAGTATTTTAATTTTAATATTAGTTTAAGTAGTTTTTAAAAATAGCGGACCTGGCCAGTGTGGCTCAGTGGATTGAGCATCATCCCATGGACTGAGAGGTCCCAGTTCAATTCCCGGTCAGGGCACATGCCGGGGTTGCAGGCTCGATCCTCAGTGAGGGCATGCAGGAGGCACCCGATTGATGTTTCTCTCTTACATGGATGTTTCTATCTCTCTCTCCCTTCTTCTTTCTCTAAAAAAAAAATCAGTAAAAACATATTTTAAAAAAATAGTGAGGGAGGGGCTGTGGGGGGAATTCTTGGTAAAAAATTCTGGTGTGCTTATTATAGATGGAAATAGATTATGGCAGTTATATAGGTCTTGGGTTATAAACCAAAGACTGAATTAAAGAAGCATTAACCATAATATTTTTATGAGATTCAGAAGTACCATATAACTAATTTACTAATAAAATAATTTTTACCTATAGAATCCTATTGGATTCTTCTGCATAAATTCTGTATAAGAAAATGCTCTCGGAAGAGAGAAATCAGAAGAAAATTGAAAAATAGGTACAATTTAAGTTTCTTTAGGACAAAAGTTCTTTATGATAGAAGTATGTAAGCCCTATTAATTGTATCATTTTAAATTGGATATAAGTTTAGATAAATCATTATTTTCTTTGTTATGATATCACAAACATCCACCAGGAAATCTGGTTCACCTCTGGATATTTTTCTTCATAAAGGAAGAGATCCTTAAATGAATATGGCAACAAAGTTTACATTCTATATCTCTATATCAGAATTTCTTCTAAGTAATATCTTAATTTTAGGGAGTACACTTTTTTTTTTTTTTTTAAATTCTCACTGGAGGATACTTTTCCATTGACTTTTCTGGACAGAGTGGAAGGGAGGGAGGGAGGGATGGAGAGAGTAAGAGAGAGAGAGAGAGAGAGAGAGAAACATCACTGTGAGAGAGACACATCAACTGGATGCCTCCTGCAGGAGCCTGACTGGGGTGTGGATTGAGCTGGCAACCGAGGTACGTCCCCTTGACTGGGAATCAAACCTGCAACTCTTTGGTCTGTGGGCCAACATTCTAACTGCTGAGCCAACTGGCCAGGGTGGGAGTACACACTTTTAAAAACACATTTAAATAGAAGAATATAAATGTATGAAAAGAAGTAATAAGTAATTTTCATCTAAACTTATAATTTTTCTATTCCTCTTCCAAAACTCTGTTTGCATCCAGGATTAACACAATAACATGTCTCGGGGACTTAGCATACTTCCCCCACCCCCCTTTTTTCTTTTCTCAAATACAAGGGTTTTATGTCCCAAAGAAAGCAGTTGCATTCTACCCTCTATTTTTAGAAATTGTTCAATTGATAGAATAAATGAAGAATTTACCAGTTTAATGCCATTTTTCTATGTGTATATCCTAAAAATGTCCAATCTAAATATTATTATCTTGAAACATTACTTCTCATCCTCTTTACCTTTTAAAGGAACTCAATATTTTAAACAAAAGCATTTTATGACATGTTACACCACATATGAATGATTCATATCACATTTACTTTTATAAAAGTAATGAATCTCTCATATTCAACAATCCTTGTGTTTTTCTGTTAATATATCATCTGTTGTGCTTTAATGACACACACCCTTGTTAATGTCAAAGCAACTATGAAAATTTAGTAGTTAGCCCTTAGTTTCTATGATTGTTAAGTAAATGTTATTTTTATTTGACATAAATGTTTTTAAAATTAGATACATTATTTCTATGATTCTAATTTTAGTGGCAATAGCAAAATTCTGCAATACACCCAATTAAACATATATACATGCGCATATAGTTATAGCCACACATATTTATATCTTTTTAGAATGAACATCCCCTCTGTCCATTGTATCTCCAGGAATAAGGGACTGTGATATCTCTTGTAGTAAAGTGGTATGAGAAAGAGCCAACAGGCGAAAAGAAGTAAATGAGGGATGAGGAAGTAGAACTCTGAGTATAAACTATTTTTTTCTAAAATCTTTGAAAATTTGCTAAGAAATATTGGGGAAAAAATAAGATAGTCAACTTGAGGTCAGGTTGTGTACACAGACGTGTGTGTATATATAGAGAACATCGATTGGCTGCCTCCTGCATGACCCCACTGGGGATTGGGCCCACAACCTGAGCATGCTCCCTGACCGGGAATCAAACCAGCAACCTCTTGGTGCATGGGTTGAAGCTCAACCACTGAGCCACATTGACTGGGTGACAGACACTTTTAATTCAGTTCTACTTTTGAATGTATTTGCATTTTGTTCAGAAAACACTGACATAGTTGTTTATGTCAAGGACGTAGGTGTACATATAGAGTATATATGTATATTCTCAAAATAGTGTATCCATAAGGGAGATTTTTTTCCCACCATCTTCACATACAGCTTTGGATGGTTATGGATGAACTTAGGAATCTTTTCTAACTTCCTCTCCTCATTCAAGTTTTCCAACCTTCCACACTGAGCCTGTCCGAGGAGGCATTTATAGCCCATGTACATTGATATGGAAGATAATTGTCTATTTTCCTCATTTAAGGATATGTATGACAGACCAAGTCCATACCTGCTCAATTCATATTTGTTACCTAATAAATTTATCAACTCAGAATTTCACTATCCACATGATCTTCCAAATGATCAATGTGTAAAAATGAAATTGGACAGATAGAAATTTTCAATACTCTTAAAAAGTCTATCTTTGATTATGACTTGATTAAAAATATGCTCTTTAAAAAAAAGTTCACCTATAGCTTAAAAATAGAAAAAATATAGTCATGAAAAAAGTCTGATGAGCTTTTAAAAAAAATCTGAAAAGTGCTCTTTGAATCCTACTTTTCTCCCAAGCCTCTTGCTTGACATTAATATGACTGTTGAATGCTTCATTTACACTCATTTTTCATGTGGATGACATCAGACATCATTCAGAGCACCAGGTAGATGTGATGAGGGACATCCGGAGAACTGATGAATGAGGCTTGCAGATATACAGCACAATTTAATGAGGCCAAAAAGATTGAGAATTAGAACAAAATGTTTGGGTTCTTTTGTGAAATGTATTACTCTTGGGAATGAATCGACCTGATTATAGATAGGTACAGAATCCATGTTAATCTCCTTACACAGCTGTTTCGCATTACAATGAATTTACTTTCTAATCTTTACCTGCAGTAATGCCATTCCTTAGGGCTCACCCGTGTGTACAAGACGTCCTTAAAAATGGTGCCAAAAGTAAAATGAACTCGATCATCGAGTCCAAACAAATGAATAAAGAAAAGTAAAACCAGACACAGAGTTGAAAGATAATTTCCAGGCCCAGCAACATTAAGATAGTGGCTTTTCTGTAGAATAGCAAAGGGATTGGTTAGCATCACCCACTTCAGCTTGTCTAGCCAGCTTGAAAATAGTTCTCTGATTCTTAGCTTCATTCTCAGAAGTAATAAAGAAAAAAGGAAAGGCATTCAAAATTAATAAGATGAACATTTCAAAATAACTAATAAATGAGAACAAGTGGAAAAAAACGTACAATAGATGGACACTGCTTTTCAAAATAAAGAATGCATAGCTATAAAATTATAATCATCTGACAATAGATACATTATTTTTAATTAAAAAATGATTGGCAAAGTCTTTCCTATTTTTCTGTCAAAAGCAAAGTAGAGAGGGAGAGTCTATGGCCTACGAAACTTTAAAGCACATCACAAATGGCTGACTCTGTGTGTGTTTTATATAGTTTACAGTGAAGATTGTCATTTGTCAACAGATGGTATGGGAAATTATTCATGGAAAATAATTCATTGCCTTCTCTGCTGTCTCTACCTGGCTTCTTCATCAGGCAAGAATAAAGCCTTTGGAATCAATGTTCAAACATAGGATAATGAAGGTCATTCAGATGTGTAAAATTATTTAACATTATTTAGCAAATGCACTGCTTCTAAAAAGTTTTATTACAGATATTTTGGCACTTTCAACAGTTTCCATGACATTTTTAGCTTTAGAATAGGAACTATACCTTGTTCATAAAAATAAAATATATTATTGCCATGGCCAGTTTGGCTCAGCAGTTAGAGCGTTGGCTTGCAGTCCCAAGAGACCCAGGTTCGATTCCCGCTAAGGGCATGTATCTCGGTTGCAGTTTGTCCCTGGCCCTGGCTGGGTCGTGTGGGTGGCAGTCACTCGATATATCCCTTTCACATCGGTGTTTCTCTCTCTCTTCCTCTCTTTTCCTCCCACTCTGTCTGAACAAAAAATCAAATAGATTATTTATGCTGGAGTTATTGCATAGCTGAAAACAATAATTACAGTGTAGCATTGGCCTTGCCATCAAGAGATGATCAATGGCAGATTTTGTGCATGTATGTGTGCCTATGTCTTCCTCTTTGACAGATTTATTTACATTTGTTTTTCTGTGAATAAAACTAATGTTGACATTTCATTACCTAAACTAAGGAAAATCTTATCAGATATATTTTCTTCAGGTTTGAATAATATTACTTTCATGCATTTTATAATCTTTAATATTTGAAAACAAATCTGTTGAAAACTGAGGTTAAGTATTAATTAAGTGCAAAGTGTATAATATGAGATGAACCTCAGAGTGCAGAAAATGCACTTGAAGTAATTTTTTGTAGAACTGTACCACCTGCAGTTGGGTTTGGCCATTGTTTGTGTTAAAACATTATTCTGGAAAAGGCACTCAGCTCTGCTT